TATACCGGAATGCTATACCGGAAACAGAGATGCCAACACGTATTTGAAGCAATCTGTAGTTTCTGGCCATCAAATTAGTAGTTCGAGGGTCACGTAGTGACCCGAGTTTGCTAGGGGGGTCCGGCATGCCCCCCGGAAAAAATTTTGATTATGAGATGCAATTTCCTGCATTCTGAGGGTCAAAAATGACAATAAATTGACAAAAAATGACAATAATTAAATTATTTTTTTTTCGATTACAGTGAAATTCGTAGTTTGATACAAACTGGTTGTATTGGTGCAAAAAGGTATAGAAATTCGTATAAAATACGGATAAATCGTAGTGGTTGGCATCTCTGCGGAAACAACGCGATAGCACATAGTCGGGAACTAGTGACGGCGTGCATGTAGATTATGATGTTTTAACTGCAGTCCGGTATATTATATGCTTCAGCAGAATAGCTTACAGTGCATATTAACCAATACCGACACTGATGAGACGTAATTAGTAAATGTAACAGGAAATGCAGGAAATGTAAACGTGCCTCGAACGCCATGCAGTTCCCTAGTTCTATGTTCTCACAATATTCTCGGGGGAGGGGGGGGACCTTGCACCCTCGGCCGCGTTCACGCTCTGCGTCTTAAAGCCTAGCCTAGCGCACACACACGAGCAAAACGGGAAATTTTGTTTTCCAGCGTTTCGCGTTCTGCTCGGCGAGCAAGCGCACACACGGTACCCGACACAGCACACAGCTGAGCAAAACATACAGAAACACTGCGTACAGCGCCGTTATCACATGACATAAAAAATAGCCATCCAATGGACATCCAATTTTGTGTGTCATGTGATATTTTTAAGGATATTGATTAGAGACCGTCTGTGGCGTAGCCGTTTCGCTGTGTAGCAGAACGATTGACACCCGAGCAAAACGTACGCTCAGGCGAAAACACGTTCCGCGAATCAAACATTGCTTGTTCAGCGAAACACGCTCAGCTGAGCAATGTTTTTTGTTTCGGGAATCCGCACACAGCCACGAACATCGAGCGAAACACGTTTTGCTCCACGCACGTTCAGGGTATTTTGCTCGGGTGTGCGCGCTAGGCTTTACGCGGTCACAATAGTAACCCATTACACGAAATCGAAAAATAAGATTTAGAAAATTACGTTATAAAATGTGCACCGTCATCGTTGCACGATAGTTTTACAGATTACGGGCACGCAAACATCGATCGTCTGGACTTAGAGAGAGTACGCTCAGATAGACTATACGCTTAGCAACAGAGAGACTATACGCTTAGCAACAGAGAGACTATACGCTTAGCAAGAGCAAATACACACAAATACGTGAGTTGGCATATATTATGGTACCGCACCCAATACAATCATTCATTGTAATAATATTCCTTGTTATATCTTTTTTTCTGGCGAGTTGTGGTATAGGTACAGTTCGTACACACCCACACGCGCGCGCGCGCACACACACACGCACACACACACACACGCACGCGCGCAAACACACACAAACGCACGCACGCACGCACGCACGCACGCACACACACACACACACACACACACACACATACACACTACCACACACACGACACACATACACATAGTTACACACACGACACACACGCACACACACACACACACACATACACACACACGACAACACACACACACACACACACATATACAACACACACACACGACACACACACACACACACACACCACACACACATACAACCACCACAACACACAACACGACACGCAACACAACACACACATCACACACACACACACACACACACACACACACACACATACACATAATACACACACACGCACACACACACACACACACACACACACACACACACACACACACACATACACACACACATCACCACACAACACACACACAACAGCACATACACACAACACAACAGGCACACACACACACACATAACACACATACACACACACACACACACACACAACGAGTGATACACAAACACACACACACACACACACACACACACACACACACACATACCACACAGCAACACACACACACACACACAGCGAACACACACACACAGGCACACACACACACACACACGAATACACACAGCCACATAGCGACCACCACACACACACAGTGACACACATCACACACACACCATGCACACACACACCACACGACACACACACACACAGCACACACACACACACACACACACACACACACACACACACACACACACACACACACACACATTGCTCCAGCCGTCTGTAACTTCGTTAACTACGTTTCAGCGTCGTATATAAAGACGTACCGTGAAAAGTACGAAATAACGCATAGAACCACCCATATACCCCCCCCCCTCCACCCACACTTGAGCCACTTTTTGGCTCAATTTCAATTGCATTATACGTACAAAAGGTGGCTATATAAAAAGGTCATGGTAAAGGTAAAGGTAAGGTAAGGTAAAGTTAAATGGTATATAAAAAAGGTGGTTTTGTACGTTTTCTTTCCCAGTGGTAGGCCTACATCTTATATGCGAAGATAAAAATCACAAACGGGTGATAAATTATGGTGATCAGCTAATTCCCGTAAATCAGCGATACAACTAGGCGCTACCCGGATATATATATAATCCACGTGTCGCCTCACCCACCTTACATTCAACCCCACCCTACTCCCCACGTTTACGCTTACAATCTAGCAGAAGGTCATACATATCGTGTAATTTAACACCAACAGGCAAAGAAAACCTTGAATTACGCACTAACTGAAGGTTACGCAGCACACATTTACCTACTAGAGATGTCTACATGTATAGTTAATCGTCCAGTCGCCTGGAACATTGACAGAAATTTGCACGCGCATCCGCAGACCATTTGCCGTCACCCGCAAGGCGAGTTGGACCAGAAGCGCTACGATTACCGTCCACCGTCAGCAACAGCGATGACAATAACAGTCATGAAGCGTGTTGCTCAAGCAACATTGATCCGAAATGCAAAGGTGTTGTGATGTGTCTATTTTGTATCTGCGCCCAGCGGTCGTGGGGTGGGTGGTCTATAGAAATCGCAGCCCAATAACCCAATAAGAGAAATCGCAGCCCAATAACCTTATTGATTCACATCTCTGATAATTTTATGTCAACGCAATGTTTGCCCAGCGGAGATATCAAAAACCTTACATTTAATTTAAACGTTTTTGCCACCTGAGGGAGCCACGAGGTGGATAACCACAGCTTCGTTCGCTTCTGGGGATTGCTTGCCATGCAAAGGAAGATATTAATATTATCAGGCGTTAATAAAGACAAATTTGTCTTTATGAACTCCTGATATTATCAGGAGTGTATCAAAATTGATACACTCCTGATATTATACACTTATGTATTTATCACTTGCCAGTAACGCGGACCGTGTTTTGGGGATAAATAAGGTATTAGTAAAGACACCAATTGTTCTGATAAGCAGGTTTTCACATTACATAGACGTGTTACTGCACAAGTGATACCTAATGCAGCTATACCTTTTACATCGCATCTGACTGTGCGCACCGCGAGTGTTCTTGAGTGCATGTGTGCGCGTACGGCTGCGCGCCTGTGTGCAAATCTACACGTACTGCGCGCGTCAGTACGCGTCTCTGTTGGCATATGTTCTATCCCTGCAGGGCCGGACTAAGCGTGTGGGGGGGGGGCCGGGGCACGCAATTGTGTGGGGGCTCTATAGTCTGTATTTTTTCTGCACTTTCATGCTTGCAAATTCAGAGAGTATTTCATCGTGTTTCAACAAATTTAAAATGTCACTTTCGATAGCGAGAATACTGAGGTTTACCAGTCTCTGTTGGCACATCGTGGTTCTCATGTGATTTTTAATCAACTTGAGTTTTAAAAATGACCTTTCACCGCTACAATTCGAGACCATCAATGAAAGATAGACTCTCAGAGTAATTTCGGTATTAGGGAAAGTGTCCTTCAGCTGAACAGCAAAATTCAGTCAGAGAAACAGCATGGGAAACGCATCACTTCAACGTTACATGCTAAGAATTTTGTGGATCACAATTACGACAGTTTTGTAAATTTTAGGATACTCTAAATGTGGGGGGCCCCAAATGTGGGGGGCCCGGGCCACGTGCCCCTGTTGCCCCGCTCTTAATCCGCTAGTGTATCCCTGTCTCTTATTCGTTGTTATTTATTTCGTGTAATATCTTGTCGCGACCCTTTACGACCACAGCTTTCCATTCCACGATATTTCACTGAAGGGTTGGAAGCCATACTCACTACTCCCTGTGCAAACCACATACATTACTCCCTGCGCAAACCCTGTTAGTTACTCTTTGTGTAAACTAGATGACATTTGTTGTGAAAACCAAATGAATTTTATCGGGTGTATACTCGTATATCGCATTTGATCTGAGAAACACTGATGCCATTTACATCTGCCTTAGATTTGGAAGCGTTCCGTAAGTTTTATCAGCGTTATCCACAAGCACGACTCAGGTACTATATTGCGAGAAGGCGTGCAGTGAGCCACAGAGCTGCAACACCCCCCCCCCCAACTCCGACTTATGCGATGGCGCTCCCTTATTTATTTATTTATTTTACCATGTCTTACTTTATTTATTTTACGTGACCACTGACCCGTACCAGATGATTCGCCCACGATCCTAATCAATAGTTATTAACTATAGTATATATTGTAATCGCGACATAATTTTGTAAAGGGAAAAATGAACATTTGAAATTATACACGCACGCACGCACGCACGCACGCACGCACGCACGCACGCACATCCACGCTGGCACGGTCGGATGTGAGCGCACGAACAAACCCCACGCTTTTCAAACGGACTAGCAATCCTCTAGTTGAGGAATCAACTTACTAACGAGAATTTGAAATCGAATACCGTTTGCCACCCGGGGAATTCTAGTAATATAGGTACACAAAATAATCCCTACAGAAGACGTACATTTACTTCCATGAGAAATAGACGAACTACAGTATACAGGTGAAATGAATTTTTAATTATCAGTAAAAGGCAATATTCTGATTCTCCAGTATTAAATAAAATAGCGGTAAAATCAATCGATATGGCGTTCGTACAGCACTAATAGTACGAAGTATATAAAAGCTACGAAGATGTTACGGAACTATGCTAATATACCCTTCTGAAAATGCCGGCAAAAAATATTTCACTTCACATATATCATCGTACTTTACATGTCTAATTTAAAGTGACCTTTTCATATTTTTTATGATAAGAATTCACAAACATGATGGGAATCGGCTGGTCGAAAAAGAGCGGACGCTACCCACAGCGAGAAACCGAGGGGCCGGATTGCAATACGCCTGATGAGAAAGGAAACCCTAGCGTACTCTACACGCACTTGCAGACGGCAGAAGGAGAATCAATAGAATATTGCCTCCGTCTAGGAAAAGTCTATACATGCAAGCGATCAGATTATTTCGAGTTTAAAAATTACTTCTGCCGAATGAAAATGCAAGCATAAATGCCGGCGGCGTGGCAACGAGGTGTCAGCAGGGGTCGCGTCGGCTGTACCCCGCGGGGGGAGACGTACAGGCGTGTGGGGGGAAGCAGCCCGCACCGCCTGCCTCCCTTCCTCGTCACTACGCTCGGTTGCCATGGCGATCGCAATCCATCGCCTAGGAAACAGGTTGACATCGCCCAGAGGTCTCAATAACGGCTGCCACAACAATGTAACTGTGGTTCGTGAATTCCACTACGGAACACACGAGTTGTTCACTGCAAGAGCGGAGGGCCGCACCCCCGACCACGGGAGCGAGAGAACCCCCAGCTAATCTCAGTGGCCGTTATGAAGCACGTCTTGTCATAGCAACAATGATTCGTCATCTTATTGGAACGAATCCCCTTGAAAATACACCTCTGCGGAACGGTGCTACAGCACGACCCATTCAACAGTACTTAAAACAACAAAACAAAAAACAAATCAAGACGAAATGAAGAACAGGTCATAAGAGTCTCTTTGCCACAAAGATCTGTACAAATAGAAGAGCTGTTTTTAAAATTTGAAAGAAAGAGTAGTAGCAAAACAGAGAACAAAATTTGAAAGCGAGGATGCGTCGCTGCAGCGAGGGTCGGAAAACGAAACGTGGCAACGGGGAAGCTGCGGATGTAATTGGAACGGGTGTCGTCGCCGCCTCCCGTCCCGCGGAAGCATGAAGTGTCCTGGCAACGGTCGCCATAGAGACAGAGGCGACCGCCGATGCAGGAGGGGCTTAGTATGTAGAGAGCTCCTGGAAGGTGAGGTCGAGCTCCTCACTGATGGACTTGTACCTCTCCTTCTCGTGTACGAGGTCATCTGCAAGGCGACATAATTCACGATGAGTAACCAACCGTCGCCACGGCAACTACACTCCGACGATGCGACGGGAAACCACCCGCCGCCACAGTAACGACACCAATGGGACAAAGCGTCGCCTCAGAACACAGAGTAAACGTCGCAACGGTGCAAACAAACCTGCGTTACGTGCCACCTCTATAGAACAGCCACGTGTCTATAAAGGCCACTTTTGCAATTTTCCTTGCGTGTCCGTTATTAACAGGTTTGATTGTACCTTAGTTCTTGTTCCTAATTAAACACCTGCACTGACCTGGCACTCTTTAATCTTGAAACTTATGATTGCTCTCGGACAAATACTGATCAACAAACATTATTTCATGACAGTGTGTTTATGATGCCATGAAACACCGTGCTTCTTCTAAAACAACAAAATCCTTCGATGAAAGTATCTGTAATAGTGAGGAACTTTGCTCAGGCGGCAGGGTGCGCTCCCACACTCACTGTCGTGTGGATGTCTGTCTGTTTGTCATCCACGCATAACTCCAGATACCCTCATGCGCTAAACGCCGCCATACACTAACGTCTGATGATTACTGACGCAAACACGCACTTCAGACCTTAACCGGAGAAAGAAAGCGAGGTGGGCATCTCGCAAGCATAGTCGACAGAGTTGAAAACTGCATGTGCCAAAAGGCATTTTCGCCATGTTTTCTTTCCACTCCTGTGAGCTAACCGTAAAGTTTAGCGAGTCTGTATATATCAGGAAGTAAGGAGATAAATGGTATTTGGGGCTCTCCTCGCCACAAATCTAACATATACACGGAAATTGTCTGCGTCAAACTGAATCGGGTGCATTAGCGAATGTCGCATTCGCACGGTAATCATCAGACGTTTGCATAACGTGCAACAGGTGGAGGCACATGCACACCTCAGCAGTTGACGATGTCATTCAACGTATTTTCCATGTCTGTGGCCATCGTCTTCACCTTCTCTGTTTCCTCTCTCAGGTCATCTGAGCATGCACAAAAAGCACAAACACATGCAACATGCAGTAGTGAGGTGTAGCAGCAACAACTAAATCGCTCCACCACTAACCAGGGAGCACTGATAGGGAGTTATGCACCCACTATCAGAGGAGCTTTCACTTGTTAGAACACTTTCAATTCAAACTCACTACTTAAATTGTGTTATCAGTTATTTGTCATGCTAATTTGCTGTTAACCTTAAGGCGGAATATCACTGCAAAGGGTCACCCATTCAGACAATCTCAACAACCCAAGAAAGTCATGATGGGTAACCAGGCAAACCATCTAAACAATCAAACCGAGTAAACTCGAATTCGACTAGTTGATGAATCTACTCAAGCATCTCACTCCATAAAAACAAGCGTGCTTATCGAAATGCTAACTTCTGACTCAGTGTTAGTAATGAATGCTGAGTACAGAATTAGCCGGATCAATACGAACACGGCAAGCAAACGTAATCGACTCTACGAACAGCAACAACCAAACACATCAACTGCTGCTCTCAACTTGTTAACTACACCTTACCAAGAGTAGATAAATAACAAGAGTGAGACAACCGATTCCCGCATTTTTAACCGATTTTGCTCATCAAAATTTACCACCAATAAAGAAGCAAGTGTATACGTTCCTCAGCTTATTATGACCACTAATCACTCACCTTCGTGGTACTGAAATTCGTTTACATATATTTGCTAGCGTATTGCTGTAAATCGTAATCTTGCACGAGCTGAATTCGCACAATTTACCGCTTTTGTTGCGACCTGTTTAGCCATTATGTAGAAGCTATCGGGGCGCCAATATTTAGCAATGGACGTTTCCAAATCATTCGTGCCCCGATAGGGTTGAGAGACAATCTAAATTTCGAATTTTGATCTCGTGAGGAACCGCGAGACGCGCTCAGTTATTGTGATCGCAACACAAGAAATTGACATACTATCTTACATAAGTAATAATACAATAATAACAATATTCTCTGTAGTAGTTTGCAGTAAGTATCACATTACGCACGCGCAGGTAATCAAGTACATTAAAAATAAAAATTGCTAAATATTGGCGCACCGATAGCTTCTAATAATGTCTAAACAGCTCGCAACAAGTCGCCATTTTAGCGGTAAATTTATCGAATTCAGCTCGTGCAAGATTACGATTTACAGCAATACGCTGTCAAATATATGTAAACGAATATCAGTACCACGAAGGTGAGTGATTAGTGGTCATAATAAGCTGAGGAACGTATACACTTGCTTCTTTATTGGTGGTAAATTTTGATGAGCAAAATCGGTTAAAAATGCGGGAATCGGTTGTCTCACTCTTGTTATTTATCTACTCTTGACCTTACTCGTATCCCAACGCTCCTACGACTACCACTGGTTAGTGACACGCTCGGCTCACGTCCAGTACAGCGGCAGGCGATGTGGAATGCCATGCCATGCGCTAGCTCCCGCCACACGGAGCTGCCAACGAGAGAAGCCATGCACGATGTGACAGAGACACTCACCCTCAAGTCTGTCGACCTCCTTCTGCAGCTTCTGTACTGTCCTCTCAGCGAACTCGGCACGTGTCTCAGCCTGGCAATAAAGTAGGTGTTGTGTGAGTGCCACGAGCCCTACAGCTAACCTGCTCTCTAATTATATCTTATACCTTATAGTCGATCGCTAAGCCTGTTCGATATCCTACTTATAACCATCCCCGATTGATAACCTCATCCCTTATTCAACTTATATTGATCCGTGATTGCTAATACCCGATCTTAGGCTACCTTATTCATCCTTAGTTATTAACAAGCCCCAATTCATACATAATTCTTGTCATCTCTAAGCGCAAGCCTTACCCCAATCCCTTCTCTATTCCTTTCCACTATCTAATCTCTTACACATCTCTCCACGTTTATACCTCTCGCGTGATAGGTTATAAAACTTACGTCCTTCAGTCGTGCGGTGAGGTCACGGATCTGCGCCTCGTAGCTGTCCTCTCGCTGGGTGGCCTGCAGAACAAACAGAAGAGCATGTAAATGATGTAGATGGCGCTGCACTGCTATCCAATGTGGAAGCAGATGCACTAAAATTTAAAAAATAGCTAGATAGATTTAGATGCAATCCGTTAGCAGCAGCACCACAATCTCCTACCTCAAAACCAAAAGGATAGAGAAAAAGAGCCAAGACCCACTTTCATAGTGAATCTCAAGGTTCATATTATTGAACATAACCTTGCATATGTCATAATAATGCACACATCTAAATGTATCTAACCCTATCCCTAATGCCAAAAGGGTGTAAACTGAATGAACACTTGGAAACACACTTCTCACACAATATATATATATTGAAAACGTGCATAGATCCACCTTTATCTACCCCTGTCTTACCCTCCCACGACGAGCCCCTCATCCCCCAAGTTCTTACCTTCTCCTCAGCGACCTCAAGACCCTTCAGGTTGTTGCCGACGATTCTCAGCTCTTCCTCAAGCTCAACGATCTTGCTGTAAGATCACAGGATAAGACATGTTAGCCCTGTGCACATCCCATCACGTCGCGAGATACACCAACACCCTCTATCAACAACACATCATTCTGGCATGCTCCTCCACTGTCACAACGAATGCCACGACCCGAGTCGTCACATACCGAAATAAAACACAAAGGTCTGTTGCGGTTCCCCGTGCGAACGAGGGTCGATTACCATGACTGGGCGTCCAGTTTTCTGGAACAGCGGAGACTGAGCACCCGTCACATAGTACCTACCAGTCTCCTTGGCCCCGGTCGCTGGTGGTCGCATGGCGTGACTAAACTTTTCACACAATTAACTAGCCCGAAGGGAGCCTGGTCGTAGGGTCGCGACCAACCGAATCACTTATAGCGATGATTTCAAAAAGAATTTCCGACCGTTCTCGTGTTTTCCAGACTTTTCAGATACTTACCGTTATTGCCCGTGTAACATCAACTGTCTAGAGTAATGCTGAGCTTAGAATCTTCGTACTTCGCTATGGTCAGACTTTCTCGCGATAATAATTCTCACTACACTGAATCAGATGGACTTTTGTATGAACTAGGTGCACTTGCGTTGTCATTTGCAAATTAATTGTCACTATAATCAAATATTCGGTGGTGTTATGACGTGTTCAATTGCAATTTTCTACAACAGCATAAATTCTTATTGATTTTCAAGTTGGTGTAATAAGTAACTATCTGCTGTTAGATGAGACTATATTTTGCTATATTTTTTCTAGACTGAGCGTATATATGCAATGATTTTGAAGTACTTTCTTTGAAATCTAAATTTCCCTTAAACCACTAATTGCTATAAGAGCTACACTCGCTGCGGAGTATAAAATGCTGACATAAAACGAGTTTGGGGGAATCAACTACAAGTATGTTATGATATGACCTTACGCGAGACAGGAAGAATCTGCCAACCGGGGACAGAAAGACAGAACAGCCGCTTACTGGAAATTAAAAACCTTCTAATGTGCAGATATGTCAACGTAACCAGGTAAATGATAAACAGCAACAACAACAAATGTGGGAGTTCAATCTGAATAATTACATCCAGATCGGTGTTAATGATACGACCACGTTTGATTTCAGGGGAACAAACATCACTAAAAACAAAATCGTGTCTTTGCAGTACGAACAAATATTCACGTTAATGACGATGAGAAACAAATGATATAAACAGATGAATGATAAACTTAGGAAAATTGAACTGCGAGTGACAGTTAAACTTCGATACCTAATAACTTCTTAGAAAGATTTCTGAGGATAGCATGCTATGTAAAACATACATGAACAAGTCTTTGTGTGCATGTATACCCTATAACATGCAGTCTTCTTAGTTTTAATCCAACTGCTATCAACTCGCGTGACAAAATAGTCCACAAGTTATACCAGATGGGGGTGGTCACAGTATTTTAGTACCAGGGGTAGTGGTGGACAGGTTCTTCTCTACCTCAGGGGATCAGAATCTGTCAGTGCATGGTTTCAACGCAATCTCATGCTTCCCACTACTGGCTTCACACCCCAACCAGTCACCGCTCTAGTTCATTTGCATATTAGATCGGCTATTAGGATGTGAGTATGGCATTACTGATCGATTGCTGTGAGGCTCCAGATGGCAGCACTGTGCATGGCTCTGCAAACTACAGCTCGACTAATCATGGAAGGCACCAAATGTTTAGAGACAGCGAGAGAGACAGAGAGAACTAGCTAGTCGCAAGGGATTATAGCACTGTCAGGGCCAGAAATATTTCAACTATTCAAGCTGAAATTAGACGTAACACTGATGCCCCGTGCCAGAAGGCAGAAAAATGTCTCATCGCCCAAGACGGGAAGACCAAAGGTTAAAGAATCACCGGGGAGTCACACGTTCATGTTGTATGGGACGCAGAATGAAGGAGGGCATCGGCAATGAGAGCATTGACATCAGCCCACTCTAAATTTCCGGAATCTGTTCGTATGACCAGCCGGAGGGATGTGGTAGTACTATGCTGCATTGATTAGTGGAACTGAGGCACGTCGCTGCCACGCAGGCGCCCCGCTCTCCTCTCCTCGTGTCGTGAGCGGGACGCCTGCGTCATCGCGACACGCCCGTGTCCATGTCAGCTAGGCGTCAGTGTACAGGCCAGCGGGGGCCGGCAGCGGTCCCGCCCGCCTCCATGGGATGCTGCGGGGACGCATCACCGTCTACTCACGTTTCACCGGTGTTCGCACGATCCTCCGTGCGCTCCAGGTCTGCCTCCATCATCTTCACCCTGCGGTTAACCTACAGACGGGCAGATGACGGAGAAGACGAAAGAAAAGAGAAGAGCGACGTTAGCAGGGCCTGCGTCACGACGCGTGTACTTACGATTCACCGATCTCGGCACGCTCCTCCGCGCGTTCCAAGTCAGCTTCAACCATCTGAACCTTTCTCGCCACCTGCAGAGAAACACGGGAGAACGTAACGTCACGGTAACCAGACAGCGAGGATACGAGGATATGGGACATCAGTCGCGAGATGATGATTTCACCAACGGTTCAATGAGAATTCGAAAATTTCTCTTGAACGTACTTAAATACTAAATATTACCTTCTATAATATCTGCACCTGTTCAAATAATATACGAATACTCAATCAATCTTTGAATTCATTATAAAATTTCAAATACTTCTAGCAAATGAATGAATTCTAGCTTCTGAATTTCTTTGGTCATCTAGTCACCGCAAAGCGGCCTCGGTTTCCAAACAACTAATGCCGAATATCTAATAGAGAAAGCCAAGATGGAGAAGCAGTTTACACCATCCATTAAAATTCATGCCTCGTATTCACCACCGGTGGGGAACCACAAAGTGCGGGTACGTAGAACATTTATATAAGTTAAAATATACATAGGTTTTGCCAATTCGTACACAAGGCCTGTAATTGGCATTCAACAAATGCCCACAAACTCCAAGAAAATATTCTATGAGAAAACTTGAACCCGGTATGCATTTATCTCGATGAACGTAATAAGGGGAGGTCAATAGCAATCCACATTCGCTTGCTTGCCAACCGGACCCTGTAACAGAACCGTTACGAACAAGAAACAGGAGGCGTGAGGGCTTCCCCTTCACTCTGCTTCCATAATGCTGCAACTGGAAGCAGGAAAACTCCCAATGAATTACACAAGGGATGTGTTTTGGGACACCTCGTCACGCCCCCTGGTGTCGGCCACCGGGTGGTCTTCACCCATGTCTGCACGGGCATACACACAAACGGACATACACACTAAACACAAAACTCAACATTCGCCCCACAAGGAACAACTACACTGCATTATCTAGCAATCAAATGCTTTACACTCCCAAAGTTGCTACCACAACAAGAGAGAAACGGTATGTCTACACATGCTATCGCTGTTACTGATATATTATGTGTCAGGCTGCCAAGCTGGTTACTTAATAATTACCTCTGCAAGGTTGTTAGAACAGAGATAAGAGTCGACTAATTGTTATTGCACGCTAAAATTTCGGGATAGACAAGAGCTTTACTGGGTGGTAGAGGCAATTAAATCACGTGCTGTATTTAAACAAATATTAGAAAAAGGAAAATGAAAAAACGTGTGCACTGCTTGTAATAATAGCTAGCGTGCATATTACACTACCATTATTTTGATTTGAGTATTTCATACGGATTGCTTCTGCACCATAGAAAATTCAGAGACCATGACATGCATTGCTTTACTATCCTAGTTAATCGTGGCTGTTCACTAAGAAGCGATTAGCACGGTCCACTCTATAAATCATAGCCCCGGGCTGGCTAACAAATTTGGAAACCAGTTTGACGTTTAATTCCCCTTGTGGATACATGTTTTTCTGGCTACATCATTATGGAGATATGCACAACAAGATGCAATGGGTTAGTTTACCGCAAAATGAACGAATACAATCACATGCACACACACAGTCGCATAGACACTACCAAAAAACATAACGCTGTCACTTCCAACGACCAGTGGGTCCCTATTAAGTGGCGTCTCCTGCTGGCAAAACAATACTCTAGTATGGCTACATGGTTAGTATAGGATTATGATTTTTTCTCTACCTCTCGGTGCCACCTGTTGACCAAACAAAACTTCAGCGTGGCAGGTGTGTGGTTCATTAAGGGCCGTACGAGGTTAGTGGGGATTGGCGGTGCGGCCGTCGCCGTGGTTACGCTCGCATGCCGGGCGGTGGCATGCACACGTCACCTCGTCGTATTTCCTGTCGGCTTCCTCTGCGAGATACTGAGCTTCCTTCAGCTGCAGCTCGAGTGCATCGGTGCGTTCTTCCTCTGTCTGCACCTTGTGCTCAAGCATCTTCCTCATGCTAGACAACAGACGACAATTCTCATCAGTGACTATAAATCTAATGATTAATCCACAGCCACAGAGACCACTCCATCCTCCTCCACCACGTTCCGCTCCGACGACCACGACCACGAAAACCTGAAAATGCTGAAGACGAATTAGTATTCCCCGTCAGCGCAAGGGGGCGCCACCTCCTGCCTTCCCCCGGTCACCACGAGGGGGCGCCGCGCGCGTGCCCGCGTCGCACCACCACCAGTAGTGAGTACCTCTTGGTATCGCTGCTCAGCTTGCTCGGACAGCAGCTGTGTCTCCTTCAACTGCATGTCGAGCAGCTCCGCACGATTCTCGTCGATCGTGCTCCGATTCTCCAGCACCTTGCGGCCGCTGCGGAAGACAGAGAGAAAGAGCGCGCCGTAACGCCCCGCATGCACATGCAACACCACGGCCTGGTAGGGGGGGCGCTGCGGTCGGCACTTGGGGAGGGGGGGGCACAGTTGTGGAGTGGGGTTGCTGCATGGTGGGGGGGGGAGCTATGGTGAGCACTGATGTGGGGTAGTGGGTGTGTCGCTGTGGGGTAGAGAGTAGAGACTGCTGTAGTAAGGTAGGGGGAGGTGTGCAGTGGTGAAGGGGTTGCTGTGGTAGAATAGCCAGCATGACTGAATAGAGTGCACCACGGCAGTGCAGCGGGGTAAGGGGCGACGCGGTCACAAGGGTTGGGAGAGTGCCACGAGGTTTTACCTCTTCGTTTTTCTTATCGGCCTCCTCCGCTAGCAGACGATACTGCTCTACGCCGCGCTCTAGCTCCTCAATCTTGTCCGCCTCCGTATACGAGCGATTCTCAACGCTCTTTTTCGCTCTGCACATCACCGCAGACGGAGAGAGCAATGCAGCAGGAAAGAGACACGAGACAGAGACACAGACCAGTTAGCATGGACACAAACAAAGGCAGGCATGTTAGCACGCACGTGTGTGCGCCGAGAGGAGAACTGCATTCGTCAGAAACTAAACTGACGTGGACACACACGCAGGACTAAAGCCTCTGCATCAAAACAAGGAGAGAACGATACACAGATAAGCACTGCCCCACATTCACGCGTGTAACCATATAAGTTTAACAAAAGTGAGAAAGTGAGAGAGACAGAGGAGAGAGAGAAAGAGAGAGAGAGAGAGAGAGCGAGAGAGAGAGAGAGAGAGGGAGGAGAGAGAAGAGAGAAGAGAGAGATAGATAGAGGGAGATAAAAAAGAGAGAGAGTTACACCCATGTTGCTATAGCATATATATATTGTGTATCTTATATAGAGAAAAAACACACACATTTCTATAGCACATAAAGAGGAGAACACACACAGATATCTATAATATACATTCTATATCACACAGAGAAAGATCTGTATGTTGGGCTCCACTGGCTCAATCTTTTGAGGACAAGTTCGGTTTGATTATCTATATACATAATTTCAAAATTTTAATTACTTTAACAATTATAAGCACTCCTGTTTGATATTCTATGGCCAGTTTTGCCAGTAGAGGGAAATACACGGTACATATATTATAATGTACTATTTCTTACTAGCTTAGACCTTGTGTTGAACATAAATTATTATACAAATTGTTTCTAATACACTATATCACACAATGTACATATACAGTTAAACCTCGATTATCCGAACGAGACGGGCGGGGAGTATTTTGTTCGGATAACTGATTGTTCGGATAATTTATCTAATCGTATTACCGTTAAATATTCAAGGGACCTTGAGATCTTGTTCGGATAATCCGAAATTCGAATAATTGATGTTCGGATAACCGTGGTTTGACTGTAATTATTATGCTATTTACCCTTATACCAAATTTCTATAGATACCAGCATAAAGTGGATACTTGGTATCATATGTCATGTCTCTGCAGGTATTAAACTGCAGACATATTTATGCTGCTGCTAGTTTTGGACATACCGTTCGCTCTCATCAGCGATCTTGCCAGCACTTTCCAACTTCTCAGTGGCATCCTTCAATCTCTCCTCTGTCCTTCCCAACTCTTCCTCCGTCAACTGGATCCTCCTGTTCAGGGCCTGGATCTCAGACTCGGCCTACAGAGAGGGTTCGGAGAGAATTATTATTATTATTAAATCTTTATTGCATGTAATTCAGATACAAATACATGTATGATTGACAATGAATGTCGACTCCATGCAATGACTTAAATCTAGGGTTTCAGACCCATACCCTTATCGATCGCTGATTAACACAAGATTTCCAGCAATTCTTAATGAATGACTACAAACCGATTTCAATAGCAAGAAATTCGGAAACGGAAACCATCAGCTAGTGATAATTTAATCCAATTAACTCAATGAATCATTTAATTAATCATGAATAATTAAATCAGCAATGACTAGCAGATGGCATGCATCTTCCCTTATTTAAAGGCATACTAGGTCCATTGATTATGCAATGTTGAAGAATGGTAGAGTGGTAACTGGCACCTTGTGTAGTTAATAAGTACATAACCTTACATCCAAACACGTATTAGTTTGTCCAATATCACTGCTGGTTACTAAGAAATGTCTAATTGAAATCCGCAATCCAAGAAATCAGTTGTTTACAGTTTCAAACCGCTGCCGGCGAAGCGGGTGTGATACAGATTTATAGTGCACCGGACATTTTCGTACGCATGCTCGGCCGTACGCAATGCTATCATCAGTGATTTCGTAAACACGGACGCTCGTGATAAGGCACTTTTTGTCACAGCTGTCCATGTGCGTCGGTGATTAGTACGTGTGTTTTACTCCATTTCCATGTTTAGTCCGTGGTCGTGGTTACACCGCAGACACCTCCATTTTATCTGGCGTCCAAAACATACGGGCCACACAAATGTTTACGTCATCGCTTGACTCCTGGATTACATTTACGGATTACACATACAAGTCTTGCTTGTAATGTAACCAGCAGTGATATTGGACAAACTAATATGCGTTTGGATATAAGGTTATATGTACTTATTAACTACACAAGGTGCCAGTTACTCTAGCATTTGTCAACATTGCATAATCAAAGGGCCTAGTATGCATTTAATAGTACAATATGTTGTACAATCATTTGGCAATTTGCAGCTTGTGTTTGCTGGTGAAAACTAGGCAATATGGCAAACTAGCCTAGGTTTACTTTAGTTTTAGCTTGAGAGCCTGGTTTTACTTGAACCTTGATGACAGCTTAGAATTTAGATGCAGTTCATCTTGGCAACAACAAAGCAGGTTTACATTGTTTCATGTCATTGTCATGTGTTTGCACCGATGATCTAATGGCGAGGAAGTTTCCATAACAAATAAATCTTTAGTACGTGGGAACAAATTTCGTAGATTTACAAGCCGCTGACCTAAGGCTACTTCGTCCCAAACAGGTATCTCTGGATTTACTCCGGCAAGTCAAGGAACTTGCTTATTACAGCATACTGTAGTGTACACTGTAGTCTGTATATGCAACCGCCCCCTGGTGGTGAACATAATGCTACCAAGCCCACATTTATAGTCTTGTTTTGATTAGATTTATTACAATCTACTCACATTCTGGCATGATCTGCATGTAATCAGGAATTAGTATAGAATATGATAACTTCACCCGAATACAAATTAAGGATTTAATTTCGTGAGAAATGTTTAAGAGGCAATGCTAACTAGTCTAGATTACACGGTATAGTATACCCACGTCTTCTCGTTTTGACACTTCTTGTTTCAACTGTCTTCTAGCTTCCTCTAATTCATCGTTTAGCGTTTCCAGTTCATCTCGCTGTTGCCTCATCTTTTTCTTTATCACATCCACGACAGTCGATGGCACAGCCATTTTGATTTTGATAATAAACGCCAGAGACACGACGACACAGAATTTAGGGATCAAAAACCGGCACTTGCGACTAGCCAAACCACCGCAATAACCGTCCGCCACCGCTAGGGAACTATACTGCCCATTAACAACTACAACTCTGACAATTCGTCGCAAATAAAAGTGCAATATTGACACAAACAAGGTTATTACGCGGTTATAAAAATAAACTTTACAAACTCGTTCTACAGTTTGGCGGAAAAATTTGTTGGTTGTCTTCCGTGTATTAGTGCGCGCAGTGCAGACAGCGTGACGATAGCGGCGGTACACACATTCACGAAGGCGGCGTTCCTTACTAGCCACTGCGGTCAATAGACGTTGAGCCATAAGCGGCGCGATAGCGCACGTATATAATCCGCACAGTAAAGAATGTGTAGGCGAGTGAGTTCAGGACCTTATCTAGTACCAGCAGATACTTCCCCGGGGAGTGTTACAACGCGAAACGAGTGCATTGCGATAAACGCGGGCGTGTCGACTTGTTAGATAATATGTGCTTGCATATATACGAGTTCACGAGGACTTCCTTACGAACGTCTAATAGCACTAAATGTTTTAGACGAATAGGATCGTATACTGGCATTCTTTGGGGGTGAATTACTAATAAAGAATGTTGAATAAACGCGGGATAAACCACTGTATAATTATCACGCCGCACCCAGGCAAAAGTTTAATCACAAGTGAACTGCCCGACAGTCGTTCTTTACAAAGAACGTTATTTATTGCGCTCTGCTAATAATAAGTAGACAGCGTATGACTGCAAGAGTGCTGAATAACGATATACGGGAGCGCGGATCTCTGTACATAGAGTCGCGTACGTACTCTTTTGCAGAGTGCAATAATGCTCTGTCCATGTACGTATAGAGTCAGGAATGCCTCCCAGAATACGAAGTAGGAGAAGAAACTAGCCTATCTGGAGTCTTTCTTTACGTAATATCTCAGCAGTAGGCACATGTGTGTCTACACCCACACTGTGCTACACCCGCACTGCCACCGCTCATGGAACCAAGCGTTTATAAATAGACACGGGCGTGTATAGCAAGGAGCACACCGAACGGGACTGCAAGGTTCGTCTGCCAAAATCGGCTCAGTGACGTCACGGGCGCGCCGCACGATACAGTGGCGGTAACGGCAGCTAAATAAGGCTGCTGCCTGAGACGCCGCCGCCTCGCACTCCCCCTGTGAAGTATTGCTCATCCACCAAGAATCCGTTCTACATATTAACGCGCGTGTATCGTGGCGTAGAAGACATACTAGCAGTATCATTCGTCGACGTGCAGTCATGTATCTTCAGTCATGTATCTTCATCTATCAACATTGCCCAATTGACAATCTTGAAAGAGTACATCGAAACGAAATTCCACGCGGTGCGTTAATTCACACCCCACCAACCCAACATAGCGTTCCACCTTCGCGGCAACAACGTGCCGCTCGGGTATGCAGCCGAAGTTTTGCTTTAACACGCGTACTAGGTAATATTCTTCGTATTATCTTAACGATTATTATTATTATTATTATTATTATGACAATATTATTATTACGAATGTACTCGGGATGTCGATCCCAATGGTGCATTCACAACGTTATCGTAAACGCACGTCTTGTTCGTATATTTCATCTCCGTCCCATTACTCCTCGATAAACTCCGTGCGAACCAGCGGTGGGTGAACAACGATACTATTCGATACATGTCGATATTATTTCGAATCGCGTAGATTTCCTTTACGGTGACGTATTGCAGACGACAAGCCTGAGCTCCTGTCGCGTTCGTTGCGCATGCGCGTGAGGCAGACGACGGGTCACAGGGCGGGTCGTCGCCATATTACTATTATCACGTGACGAGAGGCGGCAACTCGTGCACGCGAGCACTATTTCTAATTCACATTATGCCTTCCGTTTATTTATGTATGTATGTATATATATATATATATATATATATATATCTGTGTGTGTGTGTGTGAGGTGTGTGTGCTGTGTGTGTGTTGTGTGTGTGTGTGTGTGCGTGTGCGTGTGTGCTGCGTTTCTGGCGCGCGGACGCGGCCGTGTGGCGTGCGCGCGTGTGTGTGTATACCCTCAGCGGCTGTCTTGTCCTTTTCTTCAAGGTTGAGATTGGCCTTGCCAAATGCCTCTTGGGCAATGTTCCAAGTCGTTCTCAACGGCTCACCAACTTCTTCTGCAGGCTCTTCAGCTCCTTCCTCAGCCTGGAGAGAAAAGTAGTGCGAGTTATACATCGCGCGGCGCATGATAATTAAAGCGAGTATGTCGCCGTACCAGTAACGAGTGTGGTAGCAGAGATATTAGTTTTGTTATTATTATTAATACTGTGTGTTGTCTGTTCTGCTGCGGCTGATAAAACCTATTAGAATCCCTCGGGATTTAGTGGCAGATCGCAGAAGTGAATTCTAAGGGAGGGGCGAATCATGCGAGCTCAAGGGCACGAAGCGCCCGAGGGGAGGGTGTTAGGCTAAAATACGCTTGCCCTGAAAATTCTAGGGGCGACCGCCCCTGTGCCCCCCTGGATCCGCCATTGGGATTCATAATTCGAATCTCACTTTTATCACAACAGAAAACCACCCCAACGGACATGCATTCACTCGCGACGGGAAACTCGGTCGTTTCCGACCCACTATAAGTCTCAATTTATCATTGACTCGACGAAACATGCGTATACGGTCTCTGTTTGCGATATTTACTGTCACGTAATTATCTCCGATAACGCCACGCTCGACTTTTTGATTCTTTTATAGCGAAATTAAAAAACAGTATATATTTATAATAATGGCCGCACTGCGCATGCGCTTGCCGTTGGGTCGGCGACATAAGGCGGCTGCCCTTGCGAATAATCTGCGTGTACGTCGCGGTGTGCTGTGGGGGTGTGTGTATGTGGGGGGGGGGTATGTATGTGTACGACACATAACGTCGATAGGAGCTGAGAAGAAATGTGGCGGTCGCGCGGGGGCACGTCTATTTTCGGCGCGTTGCCGTTGGGGGTAGAGGGATGTTCGGCGGTGTCGCGCGGCAGGCAGGCGGCCAGCAGCCGCGGCGTGGGCGCATTGATATATAACGGGCGAGAGCATCGATTACAGATGTAAGAAACAGCAGCTCCTGATACAGCGGAGAGTAAGAAATACATGTACACTCTGGCACAACAGTAACCGGCTGTGAGGGTGGTTAATCCTATGTTACGTACGTGCTAATAAATGAAGTCAAAACGTAATTATTTGATTCAAAAAAGTTTACATATGGTTTTTTGGGTTAGATTGTTTTTAATTGTTAGAAATTTAATTAAAAAAAAGATTGTGTATTATTCCATGCGGCATCTAGTCGTAGATGTTACATTATTATAATACAATGTCTATATAACATGCATTTTCAGTGTACCGTTTAGGAATATGCGGCATGTAAATAACGTGTAAATTATATATCTGCTATATCGTACTGAGACTTGTTATCGATAAAAGCATACAAATATAGCGAATAGGATTTCTAATTGTTGCAGTTGATTATACCTAAATGTCTAAAACAATCATAACTTGATGTTTGATATCGTGTGTGTGTCTTCCCTCACCCCCGGCCACGCTCCGCTATACACCTTATTCCACTCCTATAGACACGTGTACGGGACTCGGCGCACCGCGCTATATTAGCAAAACTACGTATTCAGTTTCAGGCAACAGATATTTGGAGGAAAGATGGCCGCCGGATTGGCTGCATCTTGAAGGGGAAACGCTCACAAGTAATTATCAATTATCCGATTATCAATAGCACAGTTTAAGACTTTAGCAATCTTTCAGATGACATCCGATCAATAGATCTATCTATCTATCTATCGTATATATACATTTATATATATATATATATATATATATATATACTATATATATATATATATATATATATATTACATATATATATATATTCTCTATAGGGGGTTTCAACTAGAACATAATTCTATAATTCCCCTCTGTGTCCCAGCTTCATTAATGCTGTTTTCTCGTTAATTGACTGATTGATCTAAACTGTTGTGATGCCTTTCATATGGTATATGCGAAATTGATCTTCCATGATTCTTCCTCAGCTTAATAATCACCTTAATCATCATCAGCTTTCTTAGCCATTACTATTACTTTCTTCTCGTGTGCTCGGGCCGTGTTAATTTGTACTTCAGAAAACTCCAACGAAATCCATCGTTTAGGACCTTAGCGCGTCCATCGCCGTTGTAACGGCAACGCGATATCATATAAAGATATGCACAGAGATACATAGGTTCTATATGGAATGTTTCGTTAGAGGGACTCTTATACGACGCAGGTTTTACCGTCAACACGTTATTGAGGGGAAGAGTGTCTATAGTGAGTTTGCTTAGAGGTATACGATCAGGGCGCTCTGACACGGCGGAGAAGCGTCTTGCTTACCTGGATGGCTCTCTTCTCCGCGTCCTTCTTCGCCGTCTCGGCTTCGGATGCCCTCTCGATGGCATTCTCCTGCTCCGCCTTCATCCCCTGCAGCTTCTTCTTGATGGCTTCCATTGTAACGGGTTACTTGTTCGCGTCACCGGAGGAATGGAGAAGGTAGAGAGATCTCGGTACACGCTGCCAACTGAACAAGACACGAGTCTGCCGTGGATGAAGAGGGCCTTAACAGCTGCCGAACACGGTAGGCGTGGTCTCTTAGCCAGAGCTAACAGCATCTGCCGGCAGCGACCAATCAGCGAGCCGAAGTCATCGGAGGGGGATATTTCTGGACCGCTTCACTATTCTGGATGAGGATGCTATGTGTTTCTATGGGCGCGAGGCTGGTGATAATCGGTAGTAGGGGGGTAGCACTCAGGTGTCGAGTTGGGGACATCAATACCCGGTCACCTCCCACGCCGTGTCGCACCTGCGACAGACGTTTCGAGCTCAAATCGTGTCGCGTTTGACGACATGCGTAGAGAAATGTTTTGCGAGCGGCGGGATTATATTCGCATGTAACAGTACACCCCGGCACGCCCTTATATGGCACTGACGTCGGGGAGCTAGAGCGGGCGAGCAGATCGTTACTGATGCGGACAACAACAATTAATTCATCGTTGGAGTAAACAGCTAGCCGCGTGTGTAGTTTTATACGCTAGCTTAATTCTATTATATATATAGTGTCTGGTGTTAGTGTTGGTATAAGGCACTTGACGATGGTGTATGTATAACACACTATAGGTGCTTGTGACTTGTGTAGGTGTAATATAACTATATGCTACGGTGTGTGTAACGTAGTAGGTGCTGGTGTAGATGCAATATCA